CCTGAAGCCACGAGGATATTCACGGCTCCCGCTTCCCTTTTTCCAGAGTCCGCCGAGCCCTGGGACTGGCTGAAAACAGACAGATCCCTAATACTTCCTACTTCTGAGAAGCCCGCCTCTTACTTTAGGATCCGAATCCCATAGGCTGGCCAGTCTGCCTGCGGCACTCCGATTGGAAATGGCGACTGCCGGTCAAGCATTCACGCCCCTCCCCTCCACATCACTCCACTTTACCCTACCCCACCCCCGCCTTTCCTGATGGGCAAGGGAGGGTGACGTTGCCACTGTTCTGGGGGAGCACTTTTGTTGGTCCGGAACGGCTATCCACTAGGACTTAGACAGCAAACGTCCTCAAGAGAAGAAGAGGAATAGGTTCGTGGTTTCGACATCTCCGAGGAGATGTCAGTCAAAGTATGGGCGGGTGCAAACGCAATCCAACGCACAGTACTGGTCGAGGTACTACAGGGACAGCGGGGCGGGGGGGAAACAGCGGAGAGGAGCCGACTTCTCTCGATTGGACTAAAAGGAAGGTGGTCCCGCCCCCTCTACTCCGGGATTGGCCGAGCGCGAGCCCCGCCCCCCCACGCCTACTGTTAGCAGCTCCAGCCAATTCTGTGGAAAGGCGTGTAGAGGGGGCTCACTGGGTTCCCGACCAGACCCGACGCAGATCCGAGAGAGGTGCGCACCCTCTCAACGGTGAGGGAACACCAGTACACGGCGGAAGAGAGGCGCCGCGGGGAGCGAATAAAGCTCCGCACCCGGAAGTGTCTTCTGGGAGGTGTCGCACCCGGAAGTGTGACAAATCCCCCAGCTGCACCCGGAAGTGTGATGACTTCGCCGCTACGGGGAGTAATGGTATCCGCCAGTTGAACTGTGGGGTTAAAGGAGATGTTACGTGTCTTTATTTCCTGTGGCCAAGAGAGCCTCCCTCTACGGAAAGTGTTCCAGGGTGCAAGTATTCGGTCATGTTTTAAATGTCTCATTCTATTTTAAACCGTAGGGGAAATGAGCACTAGGAATGTCACCACCGGGGGGCCTAGTTCTGTAAAGGCTTGTAAGAAGTTTCTTTTGCTGCCCGTCACCCTCGATTCCCTTTCCCCTTAGGGATGTGCAGATGGAGGCCGGAGGAGACGCTGCTGCCCCAGCCCCCGGGGGCACGAAGGACTTGGAGGACACGCAGTTCCCCAGTGAGGAGACTAGAGATGGTGGAGGGGTACAAGCGGGCCCCCCGGATCCTGGAGACGGGGGCCCGGAGGAAACAGGTGTGCCCTCCCTTCACTGGGGTCTTGGAAGGAATCCCCAGGGAGTGTCTTTGTTGGGCGAGGGGTAGAGATGATCCACGGGAGACCAATGAGGAGGCTTTTGGGACTCCGGGAAGTAGCTTAAACCATATCAGTAGGAAGTCATTATGGACTTACATGTAATTTAAATTACTGAGAAATGAAAGGGAAGTCAGTGGGTGTCGACTGATGTTCACTGGGGACTTGGTGTAAGTTTAGGTCATTGAGGAATCAAAAAGAGGGTAGGTGAGGTCAAAGAAGGTCATTGGGGATTTTGGGTATTTAGATAAATGAAGAAAAGAAAGTCAGTAGGTTCAAAGAAGGGACTATTTAGAAACTAGTGTCTTTGGGAACTAGGCTGTTAAGTCATTGAGGTGGGAAAGGGGGTCAATGGGGGTTAGTGGCACTCAGAGTATTTACATAATTGAAGAGTTGGTGGTGGATTGTGGGGAGGTCTTTAAGGAACCAAATATTAGTGTATATTAATGGTGATGGGGGTGCATCAGTGAGATTATTTGGAGAGTCAGGGGATCAGTAGGGAGGTCTTTGAAGACCCAGGTGTTAGTGGACATGTAAAGGTGTTCATTGGGGAATCAATGGAAGTCATTGGAGAGTCAGCGGTCTTGATCACTTAAGAATTAGGAGATGTTTATGGGCTCACTGGTTAGATTCAGTGGACATCACTGAAAATGAATGGGGGGTGGGAAGTCTTTGAAGACTTGAAAAGGTAATGGCAGTTATTGGGAGGGGGTAATTTGTATTCGGGGACATGGAAGAACATCATTGAGAAAATGAAAGAATTTGAGGTCGTTGGGATTTTAGGGGAAAATTATAGAGATATAGTTGCAAATAATGATTATCAGTATGCAAGGGCGTAGATCTGGTAGGGATTTGGTAGATCCTTGGGGACAGAGGGTTAGTAGGTGTCCAGAGGCATTCGACCCACCAGGGGCTCCCTTTCAGGATCAGAGGCCAAGGACCAGCCACCCAGCCTCCTGTCACCACTGAACCAGTCAGAGGCACCATCAAGCACCTGTGAGTGCTGGGGTCCAGCAGCTGCTGAGAGTAGTCCCCTTCATGGCCCTGAGAGTGGCTCTGCGGGCCAAGGCGGGGACCCCAATGATGAGGACTGGCGCAGCCAGCGGAAGCATGTGTTTGTGCTGAGTGAGGCTGGCAAGCCCATCTACTCACGGTATGGCAGTGTGGAGGCGCTGTCAGCTACCATGGGTGTGATGACAGCCCTTGTGTCCTTTGTGCAGAGTGCAGGAGATGCCATCCGTGCCATCTATGCCGGTGAGTGAAGGGGTCGGAGGCAGAACGGGGAACAGTGACAGAAAATATAGCTGTCTGGCTGGAAGTGGGTCTAACCAGCCATGGGTAGGTTTGTCTGTCTGTCTGCCTGCCCAAGGTACTGTCCAGCCAGCCAGGGGTGAGTCAGTGTGTGTGGATAGCTGCCAGGGGTCTGTCTGTTAGGAATCCTTCTTTCTGTTTGGCCTTCTGGGTTCTGAGTGCTTCACTCACTGGATACTTCTTGTTGCCTGAGAGCATGACTGTGCTGGCTGTTGACTGAGTTGGGTATCTTTGTGGCTCTGTCAGTAATTGCTCCATCTCTCTCTTCCTCTCACTCCTGCTGTGTGCTGTGTGTCTAACCTACTTGATCTCTTACCTAGCCATTCATGTCTTTACTAATGTCCAAATTTCCCCACCTTGTCCTTAACATAGTCCAGGTGCACACAGAATGATCAAGTGGGCTTGGGCTGGTGTGTGTTTGTTGGGAGGGAAGGAGAGCAGAAGAGCTGAGCCTGACCCCCTCCAGTCACTCCCGATCCATTTCTAACCCCCTCCCCCACCTCTTCCCTCCTTCAGAGGACCACAAGCTGGTGTTCCTACAGCAGGGCCCACTGCTGCTGGTGGCTGTGTCACGGACTCCTCAGTCAGCAGCCCAGCTGCGGGGGGAGCTGCTAGCTGTGCATGCGCAGATTGTGAGCACATTGACCCGTGCCAGCGTGGCCCGCATCTTTGCACACAAGCAGAACTACGACCTGCGCCGCCTGCTGGCCGGCTCAGAGCGCACACTGGACCGGCTTCTGGACAGTGTGGAGCGGGACCCAGGTGCCCTGCTCCTGGGTGCTGTGCGCTGCGTGCCCCTTGCCCGCCCACTGCGGGAAGCATTGGGTGCACTGCTCCGACGTTGCACAGCACCGGGCCTGGCACTGTCGGTACTGGCGGTCGGTGGTCGATTGATAACAGCGGCCCAGGAGCGGAATGTGCTGGCTGAGTGTCGGCTGGACCCAGCTGACCTGCAATTGCTGCTCGACTGGGTGCGCGCACCGGCCTTTGCAGCGGGTGAGGCATGGGCACCCGTGTGCCTGCCCCGATTCAACCCTGATGGTTTTTTCTATGCCTACGTCGCCCGCCTGGATGCCATGCCTGTCTGCCTGCTGCTGCTTGGCACCCACCGTGAAGCGTTCCATGCCATGGCCGCCTGCCGGCGCCTGGTAGAAGATGGGATGCGTGCCCTTGGTGCCATGCGTGCCCTTGGCGAGGCTGCCAGCTTCTCTAATGCCCCATCAACCAATTCCCCTGCTTACAGTGTGCAGGCTGTGGGAGCGCCCGGCCTCCGGCACTTCCTCTATAAGCCCCTGGACATCCCTGACCACCACCGCCAGCTGCCTCAGTTTACCAGGTAGGTCTTGACCCTAAGGGCAATTGGCCAGGTGGGAAGTCTTGTCTAACTAAGGAGGATCAGCATCACATAGACATGACTCAAGGGAGATGACCAGCCATGCTCTAAACAGAGAGAATAGAACAGGTCTGAGGATGGAGGCTCAAGCACCAACTTACAGGAATCCCCCTATTCTAGTGGAGAGGCAGCTCCCAGTACTCAGGGAATTTCCTAGTTTGATCCGGGAAGCTCAGCCTCCAGCCACTGAGAATCCTCAAGTCTAAAGGGGAGGCTCGGCTGCTTAACTTAATTGAAATCCCTAGACTGAGAGAGGAGATGGGCCAGCTGAGAAGGCCCTGGACTAACCTTGCTCTCCGCCTTCCCCCCATGATGGCAGCCCTGAGCTAGAGGCCCCGTACAGCAGAGAGGAGGAGCGGCAGCGGCTGTCAGACCTGTACCACCGCCTGCATGCTCGCCTCCACAGCACCTCCCGACCCCTGCGTCTCATTTACCACGTGGCTGAGAAGGAGACGCTGCTGGCTTGGGTGAGTTAAGTAGGGCCCTGGGTGAATCAGTTCCCCACTTAAGGTTTCCTTACACTGTATCCCCTCCAGCCAAAGCAGCTTCCATCAAGCACACCAAGCCTTTGCCTGGGCTATTCCTTGCCTGCAATACTGTCCCTACCTTTACACATGCACCTTTGAAATCCATAAGGATTAATCACAGTGTCTCCAACTCTCAATTAGCCCCATCCTTCTGTTTGCTTTTACCCTGTTAGCAACCAGGATGGTGTCTTTGATTTTCAAGAGACCCCATTAACAGCCATCACTATGCCTGCTGATTCCTCATTAGCCCTTCCCATGTGTTTGCATGGACCCCATTAGTCACCAGCTCAGTTTTGACTCTGGGTCTCCAGCACTCTTTGAGTGCTACAGGCTGGTCCCAAGCTGTGCCCTCTACCTGCGGTATCCTTCCCTGGGATTTCTAGGCTTTCACCCTTACTTCCTGTGGGTCTGTTAAAGTTCAGCTATTCAGGGAAGCCAGCCAAGGTGACCCCATTGGAAATGGCACCTTCCCCCAGGCTCTGCCATTTAGTGCTCATTTATTAAGTAATTTACTGCATGTCTGTCGTGTATCATGTATTATTCTAGGCTGAGGATTTTATTTTTAAACTATTTTAACTTTTCAAGTAATTTTAGAAGTTGCAAGAATAGTACAAGGAATAATTATAAAGAGGCCCTTCACCTAGTTTCTCCAAAGATTAACATCTTATATAACCACAGTAACTTAACGAATCAGGAAATTAACATTGGCACAGTAACATTTAATCCACAGACTTCAGATTCCACAAATTGTCCCACTTAGGTACTTTTACTGGTCCAGAATCCAGTCCAGGATCACATGTTGGATTTATTTATTGTGTCTCCCTAGTCTTGTTTATTTTAGAACTTTTAAAGAGTATCAGCCAGTTAGCTTGTTAGAATATCCTTCCACTTGAGTTCTTCTAATGTTATACCATGACTAAATTGAGGTCGTGCATTTTTGGCAAGAATCAGAGAAGTGATGTTGTGCCCTTCTCTGCATCGTATCAGGAGGCACGTGATGTCAGTCTTTCCCGATGTCGATGTCAGTTTTGATCACTTAGTTAAGGTGGTCTGCCACATTTCTCCACTACAAAGTTAGTATTTTCTCCTTTGTAATTAGTAAATATCTCATGGTGATGATGTCTGTGTTCTGTGTTTTGTTTTTCATCATACTTTCACCCACTAATTCTAATATCCATTCATGATTCTAACCTGCAACAGTTATTAATCTGGTGTTTATCAGATGGAGATTTTTCTAACTCCATCACACTTTCTACACTTATTGGTTGGGATTTTATTGTAAGGAAGAACTTTTTATTTTCCTATTAATTTGTGGAATTTAAAATTTTATATCAATAAAATGTTTCTTTAATTCAATGGGCTAAAATCCTTTTCTAGAATTTATTTTGGTGCTCCAATTGTCTCTGATTTAGCCAGCGGGAGCCTTCATCTAGCTAGGCTGGTCTCTGTGTCCCTTTGACACATCCCCATCACTGTGTGAGCACTTCTTATTTTACTTTCTCTCTGCCAGTTTTGGACTTGGCCATTTTTCCAAGGAGCCCTTGTACCATTTAATGGAGATTGTTATTTAAAAACTAAGATATGGTAGGCACAGGATTTTAAATCAGGTGGTGAGGGGAGGCCTCCCTAAGGAGATGGCATCTAAGTGGAGAGGGGAGGCCATGTGGGTATCTGTAGGAAGAGTATACCTGGCAGAGGGAAAGGACTCTGCAAATGCTGTGAAGTGGGACTGGGCCTGGCTGTGTTTTGAGGAACACCAAGGAAAGGCTAAAGTGGATGGAACAGAGGGAGCAAAGAGGAGGACATTGGGAGGTGGCACAGGAAAGGTGCTGGTAACCTGGTGAGGTCATTTTGCTCAGGTTGGTGTGAGTTCCTCTTTATATCATGCCCAGGCTATAGATGATGAAAACAGTTGTGTGAATTTAGAAGAGGACATTGTGTATAATCATTGCTCACTGAATGGTAAGCATTGTTGTTGTTATCCCCAGTCCACAGGTGAGCAAACAGGTCCAGAGGATACACAGCCAGCATTGCCCAGTTGAAACCACTAGGTCTGTCTGACCCCTAGGCCCAACTGAGAACCCCTGGCCAACCCATGATACAATAATATCAGCTTACCTGCCCTAACCCAATGCCCAGGCAGCACCAGGTGGGAGTTGCTGCTAGGTACATCTTCCAAGCTGCGGGAGGGAGACATTGGGCTGGGTCAGACAGGATTGTCCATGGCCAGCTCCAGCCCATCTGATTCTGTCTTCTCTCAAATTCCCAGGTGACCTCCAAATTTGAGCTCTATACCTGCCTCAGCCCCCTGGTGACCAAAGCAGGTGCCATCTTGGTAGTGACCAAACTCCTGCGCTGGGTGAGGAAGGAGGAAGACCGGCTCTTCATTCGTTACCCACCCAAGTACTCCACACCCCCAGCTGCCTCTGCGGACCAAGCTCCCCACAATGGCTTGTTCACTGGACTCTGAGAGGCAGAGCTCCCAGACCAGACAGTGCTGGGAGTGACCACCTTTGGCTTTTACCTTCTTTTTTCACCCTGGAAATGGAGGTGGGGGTGTGTCTGTGACTGATCCCTGTCTCCCCGGCAATGGGGGAAGATCTGAGGTCCTGTCCACAAATGGGAGATGGGTTGCAGCAGCCAGATGAGCAGGCTGCGCTCCCAACCCCCTCATGCACCTCCACCTCTGGGGAAATCCTTAGGCCTCCCCCTTCCCTCCCTCTGCCGTACCTCTTCCACTTGGATGATGTCGAGCCTCTGGCAGGGGCTGTCCCCTCCAAACCTGCCTCAGGGGTCTGCCTCCTTCCATGGAATCTTAGTCCTGAGTGCCCAGGGCTGACCAAGGTTTCTAGAGTGACCCACAGGGGTTCTGGAATTGGGAATGCAGGGGTAGTCTGTGCATGGAACCGGCCTGAGGGGATTTAAAAAAAGAAAAAAACCGAGCCCCACAAGGATATCCCTATGCGCTTCATGTACTTCTGTTCATCTTTACTCTGCCCAAAATGACCCCCGTCAATGTTGGCTGCTGCTACTATTAATAAGATGGCCTCCCTTGTCTACCCGTATAACCCAGGGCATGTAGCACCTGACTTCACACAGTGGCTGGGATCCAAAATGTTTACATAGGAGGTGCACTTAGCTTCTAAGTCTCATTGTACTCATCCGTGAAAGGGAGATAACTAACTTTGTCTAATAGGCTCTTTAATGAAGATTTGTGAACGACAGGGGGCTCGAAATCTTGTGTACCACCACACAGCACATGCACATTTCTCGAAGAATTTGACAACCTGTACAAACAACCTAAAGAGGGAGAGACCTCTCTAGAGTTTTGTATGTGTGTGCACAAGACTCACTCTCCAACTGGCCGATAACCCTAGTTCTGCCCTTGTTTTAACTGGAGTTGTGGCCTTGTGGTAGTACGCACTTGCACTGTCGAGCCGAAGCACCAGATATCCCGTGCTTGTCCAGCATAGACACCTGATTCCTCCTCCCCGGTCAAGTGGCGTGAAAACGTGCGCCACACGCATGCGCGCTGCAGAGCCGCCCGCCCTCCTGTGAGGCCTTGGGTTTTAGCCAATCCTCGACCGAGGGGTGCGCGCAAGCTCAGCTCTAGAAAATGGCGGGGAAGATGGAGCCTTTGAGCGTGGAGTCGCCGGACACTGTGGAGGAGACTGGAGGTAGCGAGGGCAAGGGGTGTGTGTCTCTGTCTACCAGGGCAGAAGGTGGGGGGAGGATTCGTCCCAAAACGTTAATGAAATAATAATAGCAGTAGTTTTTTTTTTTTTAAGTTTTAAACCTTTTATCACTCAAAAGTTCAACAAAGTTGAGATAAATAACACACATTCTCATCACCTAGATTAACTCTTGTCAACTTTGTTCTGAATATATTTCTTAAGTATTTTAAAGTAATCATATTGTTCAATGTGCATCTCTTCAAACAAAAAGGGAGGAAGAGATGTTCTCACAAAAATCACCCTGTTGCTTCCACCCCTAAAAAAATTCACAGCAGTTTCCCTAATATCGTCATCTCACGTCCAGCCCATATCACACTGTGTGGGCTCTAAATTTCTTAATAGAAAATAACCTTCCCTAAGGACAACTTTCTTCCAGGGCACTGACTTGAGTAATGACACCTCATCCCCTAATGGGGGGGCGGGGGGGGGCGAGGGTAAGACTCAGCCTACGGACTATTGGAAATTGCAGTCCAGCCAAAAGAAAAATCTCCCAAGGCAGTAATCCACTAGCATTTTCCTATTGAACAAACTTTCACAATGTACCAAAGTAGAGAAAATAGCATCATTAGCACCCATGTGCACATCACTCTGCTTCAACAGTTGTTGACCGTCTACCATTCTTTTATCTATCCCTAACTCCCCTTTCTGCACTCTCTTCGAGCCACTATATTTATTAACATTAGATTGCAGCCTGTCAGACCTGCTTATGCAGACATCAAAATAGCGATCATTTAGTTGTTTATCGTTTGTCCTAGGATATGAGCTCCACGAGAACAGAGGCTTTTACTGCTGTTTCCCCAGCACCTAAAACGATGCCTGCCCAGCGTACAATAGGTGCTCAGTAATTTTTTTAGCGCGTGAATAATGAAATATTGTTAACACAGAGCACTCTCTTAGATTAGACATACATTGAGTTTCAGCTTTCAACAAAGAACAGACGGAAATAAGACAGATGCAAATAGGTTCCATTTATTAGGCATTTAATATAGCTGCTACTGTGATTTAAAAAAAAATTAGTATCAACCTTTCAAATTCCTCAAAATTGAAGTTATGATTAACTTTATCAGCAATGGAGAAAATTAAATCAAGTTACCATTACCAACCCATTAAATTGGCTTTATAAAGGGAGGGATATCTAGTACTGAAAAATATACATATATATCTAGTATTGATGTCCCTTTGGAGAAACAGGCCTTCTGCCTCACTGGGAGGAGAACTGACCAATAAAGCCTTTGCTAGAGGCAGTTTGGTAGAATATTTTTAGCATCTAAAATGCTATTCCACATCTGCAGTCACCAAGCTAGGTAATCACCGAAGAATACACAGGTGCGTGGACCAGGAGTGGTCATTGGAGTGTTGTTGATGGAAGCAAAACAAGGAATAGTGACAGAAATAGCTAAATCTTGGTATATCTATGCATGCCATGGAATTCCTGGGCAGTGATTTTTTTTTTT